GTTGGAGACCAATTGCCCTGATGAACTGTGATTACAAAATAATATCAAGAATCTTCAGTAAAAGAATAGCCTCAGTCTTACAATCACTGCTCAGCTCTGATCAAAGCTATTGTGTTCCCAGCAGAACAATTTACAACAATCTGCATTTAGTAAGAAATGTCATTCGTTATTCCAACAGGAACCAAACAAACCTTGCAATCTTGGCTTTAGATCAGTCTGGAGCTTTTAACAAAATATCCCACAAATATTTAGAACATCTTCTCAAACTCCATAACTTTGGACCAAATTTAAGAAGATCAATATCTGCACTAATTCAAGAAACAAGAGGATTTGTCAAGATTGGATCTTCACTGCTAGCCCCTTTCCTGTTTGAGAATGGCTTTCGACAGGGTGACCCTATTGCTGGGCCACTCTACGTTATCTCATTTGAGCCCTTCCTCCGCCTCGCTGCCAAGATGATGACCCAGAGTGGGATCCCCATTCCCAGCTCCAACTTGAAAGTACACTCAACAGCTTTTGCGGATGATGTACATTTTTTCATAACTGATGATCAAGACTTTGAAAAAATATCTCAGGCCTATAGCTATTATAGCCAAGAATCAGGAGCACAACTTAATACAACAAAGTCAAAAGGCCTCTTTTGTGGTGCCTGGAAAAAAAGGAATGATAAACCATTAGATTGTCATTGGAACAATGATGGACTGAAGATTTTGGGAGTATTCATAGGAAATACTCCACAATATGAAGAAGAAAATTGGACTTCACTCATCATAAAAATCAAAGGAACTCTCAATAACTGGTCCCAACATGTGAAACTCACTTCTCTTATTGGGAGAAAAATTGTCTGCAATCAGCTGGCAGGGTCCCAACTCATCCACACCCTCAACATTCTTCAACCACCAAGACAGTTCTTTGAAGAAGTCCAAAAATCCATGGTTGACTTCATATGGCAAGGCAAGCACTGGCTCCATAAAAATTATGTTTTTGCAAACACAGAATTAGGTGGAGTGGGACTCACGCACCTGGAAGCAAAAACCAAATCATTAAGACTTAAATTAGTGCAAGACATTCAAAATAATTTTGATTGCCAAGAACCAGTTTTCCTATATCATCATTACAACATGTCTCTCTATGGAAAGTCAACACCTCAACATTTTTTCATGCAGCAGAAGAACATCACTGAAATGGCAAATCTGGACAACTTTTATTTTAGTCTCTTAAATGCATGGTATGATATTCAACCAACCCTAATAACAACACAATTTACTTTCTCAATACTGAAAGAAATGCCTCTTTATGGAAGTAAAATAATCCAAACAGAAGAAATCAGCATCATTCCTGAATGGCGCACCATCGGAATTACCAAACTTGGACAGTTACTAACCTCTCAAGGAAATTGGGCGGACTTGGAAATTCAAAACCTCTCAGCACCAACCCAGAGGAGAATCAAAAACAATTTCACTCAAATTAAAATTTTCTTGCTAAGAAGATGTCTCTAGAAGAATCGCCAATCCAATTCAAGTTCAAAGCTCAACCATCAAATGAAGAAAGAAAATTTCCTGGAACAAGAAAACAACATTACCTCACCACCCTGCAATACTATTTGAAGAATCCAGAAGTTACAGGAAAAATCACCTGGCTTGACAAGCCCATCAAGTGGGATGTTATCTACAGATATCCAACGGACAGAAGAGACTCCGATATTACATGGAGACTTCTTCACAACTCTCTTGTTACTCCTAGAAGACTAAATCTCTGGAAAGTCATCTCATCAGGACAGTGCCCATGGTGCAAAGAAGAAGAAGGAAATACAATGCATATGTTTTTCCAATGTCAACATGTTAAACCTCTCTGGAATTTCATCTCATCAAAAATTGCCACCATCAATCACTCAGCGCTCCCAAACTACGAACAGCTGCTAGTTGGCTTCCCATCAAAGAACCCAGCTGCAAATTTATCCAATTTCATTCTAGTCCTTGCCAAAAGCACCATTTATAGATGCTACATGAATATAATCAAAGAAGAAAATCCACCTAACCCTTGTTATCTCAAATTGTTCAAAAGAAGACTCAAGTACAGATTAGCACTCGAAGAACATCACGCTGAAGTAACAGGTTTCAGAATTAAGTTTGAAGAGACTTTCTACATCAACAATGCCCTCAGAAATTTTTAATTATCTGATTAGAAAAGCACAAGCAAAATCAACAAGCTTCAAACTCAAGAAAAAGAAAAAGAAGAAAATGTAAACAAGGAGAAATACCAACCCCTCGAATCAATTTCTCCTCTCTTTTCTTCAAAGAGGAAATCACCACTTTGTAGAAAATGAAGAAGGGAGAAGAAAGAAGAATTCCAGAAAAACAATTTCAATGTAAACATATGTCTACAATCCATTTCTTGCAAGTCTAAATCAGTCATCATTTTGCTGTAAACCGGGCCCCTGCCACCCTGAGCATAGGCCACCATCGTCACACCGAAGAGAGCCAGTGCGCTGTTGCCTACCTGCACGGCGCCATAAAGACAACCTTTTTGAAGTATCCTTAAAAATGCATATTATTTACTAATCTTTTTTCTTTATTAAATTATCTTATTTTCTTTATTAAAAAAAATGTTAATTGTTTAAAAATAAAAAATAAAAAAAAAAAACAAATTGTAAAACACTGCATCATGCACCATAAATACCTCAAGAGACATCAAAACTGCATGTTTTTTTTGTGACAAATTTTCACACACCCCTTTTTGGCCCGCTTTGTGAACTTAAAAACCCCCCAATAAATCCTGTTATAAACTAAACTCTCTCTCTCTCTCGCTCTCGCTCTCTCGCTCTCTCGCTCTCTCTCTCTCTCGCTCTCTCTCTCTCGCTCTCTCTCTCTCGCTCTCTCTCTCGCTCTCGCTCTCTCTCTCTCTCTCTCTCTCTCGCTCTCTCTCTCCTCTCTCTCTCTCTCTCTCTCTCTCGCTCTCTCTCTCGTCCCCTTGTACAGTAGTCCGCGCCGTTCCCGTCAGGGCCAGCAGGCCAGCCCCTTCATGACCACGCCGGGCACCACGCCCCGCCCGTGGCCGTGAAAAGTCGGCAGCAGGAAGGAAGAGTAGGTCAGGTGAGGCGAGGCCCGGCTGCTCCTGACAACCCCGTCCGACGTAACCGCTGGGGGTGCACTGCATGGCACTGCATGGCACTGCATGGCACTGCATGGCGCTGCATGGCGCTGCATGGCTGCATTCGGAATGCACCTCGATTCTATCGGACTGGCGACCGCTACTCCAACAACGTCGTCGTTTTATCCCTCGTTGCCCCACCCGCCCCGCCCCGCCCCGCCCCGCCCCGCCCCGCCCCGCCCCGCCCCGCCGCGCCGCGCCCCGCCCCGCCCCGCCCCGCCCCGCCCCGTCGGTGGGGCTGGCAGGCCGCCCGCCATGGACAGCGGGGCGGTTCCGACCGCGCTCCATCGGTCCGTCTCTCTCGCACGCTAACGGGGCGCCGCGCGAGGGCCGCGAGTGCGAGAGAGAGCGGCGAGGCGAGGGTCCGTCTCATTTCACGGTCAGAAATAACGGGAAACGCAGCGCGGCTCGTCATGACGCGGGTGAATAACACATTTTCATGAACCGGCTGCTGCAGGTTGCCATGGCAACGCGTCAAGCCGGTATGGGCCCTGCAGGCGCCGACCGGGCAATTTAATTCATCAGTTAGCGCAATTAAAATAATTTTCTAGGGTACCGCGATAGTTTCTCATCCCGGATTGGAGTCTGAGGAAAGCCACCGAGCCTCTGCTGCATGGGTTTCGTTGTTCTGTCTCTCTCGCCTCGTCTGTGGCCTCAGGGCCGGGGCGGCTGGGGAGCGAGAGAGATCGGCGCGATACAGTGCCCCAGAAGCTGCCCGTCGACGGCCACGTGTGGCGGACGGCGTGGACACCGCGCGCGGAGGGCGCCGTCGTCGCCGTCCTGGCCGCCAAGGCCGGCAGGCAGGACGGGCCGCGCCGCGCCGCCGCGAGAATAGTCCCAATGTTTGGGCGGAAAGCGCGCGACGCGGCATTCCTGCACAACGATGTCGAGAGTCGTCATCGTCGCTCTGTCTCTCTCGCGCCTTGACGGAGCGCCCCGCGAGTGCGAGGGAGACAGAGCGACAGAAACGCAAAGTCCGTCAGGTGGTGGCGCTGCCATCAATCCCGGGCGCGGCCGGCGACGGCCTCTAGCAGGCTCTAGTTCGGCGCGGAGCGGTAGAGGCGGCGCGAAGCGCGAAGCACCGCGAAGCACCGCGAAGAGAGTCGTTCGGGGGATCAAAACACGCGGCCGCCACTCGGAATACGAGTGCGCCTCGCCCGCTCACTTTATTCACTTCAGCAGACTGATTCCAAGGGTCGCTCCGTCTCTCTCGCCCTCATGGAGCGTTCCGTACAGGTGCGAGAGAGACAGAGCGACGAAAACGACTCTCGGCATCAGTCCACAGCCGCGCGGCTGCAAACACACGCGCCGCGCGGCACGGCACGCCGCCAGTAGGCGTTGATTCCGCGAACGCGCGCGCTCGTCGCCCTGTCTCTCTCGCACGCCTTCGGTGCGCGGCGCGCCCCGCGAGAGCGACAGAGACAAGACGAGTCCCCATTCAGCCGCCGGACCGCCAGGACGGCCGGGACGCGGTGCGCGGGGCACACGCAGCGCGGCTAAACAGGCAGTGACACGGACACGGGCTCGGACACGGACTCGGACACGCGCGTCTAGCCAGCGGCCCAACAGGTGCTCGGCCAGCACAGCGGCTCCTCCGTCTCTGTCGCACTCACGGGGCGTCCCGTAGGGGTGCGAGAGAGACAGAGCGACGAAACGGCTCTCTCGGAATCAGCCGGCCGGCAGCGCGCGGCCAGCGCCAAACTGTACATCAAAATATCATGAGCAGAGCGGGGCCGCGACGGCGAGGGCTCGGCGCCCAGTAACCGGCCTAAATGCCGGACGATGGTCGCCTACAGCCCTACAGTGCGGCAGCAACGAGGACCTCGACGAGGGCCTCGCCGAGGACTCACCCTGGAGATGCGCAGGGGCTGCCCCTGGTCCGTGCCGCCATGCATTCGGAAGCCCCAGGGGGGGCCGCCCTGGAGCTGCACCTCTCTGGCCGTCATCCTCCACCGCGTTCGGGGGCCTCGCCGCCGAGGTCGTGGTGGTCGTCGTCGTGGTCGTCTTCGTGGTCGAGTCGTGCGCGGCGCTCGCTACGAGGCGTCGCGACGCCGCCGAGGGACACGCCGCGTCGTCGTCGTCGGGTGGCCGGCGTCGCGGCGCCGAGTGGTGGCCGGCGTGGGGGACGCCGAGGTGGACGCTACAGCGCGCGGCCCGCCCCCACGGCCCCCGCAGCCCCCGCAGCCCCCGCAGACCCCACCCCCGGCCGGGGCGGCATTGGCAAGGGCGTCGCGGCGGCCGCCTGCGGAGCAGAAGATGAACAAGGATGAACCGCTGAGACAAGGAAAGGCCATCAACGCGACCGCCGGCCGCAGAGTCGTTGCAGCGGTCGCTCTGTCTCTGTCGCACCCACGGGGCCAGGCCAGGGGGGCCAGCAGGCGGGCCAGCGGCCGGCCAGTCGCCGCCTGCCGAAGTGAGGATAGGCCAGCCCGCAACACGCCGCTGCGCTGGACACTCGCGGTGGCCTACCTCGCGCCTTGAAACTTCGCGGCCCAAAACAAACAAAACCAGCCAGCCCCCCCCCCCCCCCCAAAAAAAAAATCATATACCGAAATACCGGCGGTCTTGTCGGGGTCGGGCGAGTGCCGCCGTGCCGCCGTGCCGGGCACGCGGGGAGTGCGGGGGAAGTACCCTGGTGGTCATGACGCCCTTACACGTGGCCCACGCGGCCGCGCCGGGCCAGGCGCGGCGGCTGTTGCTCGGAGAGGAGAAGGGGGGAGGGGGGGGCTAAATGTCAGCGCAAAGAGGCCGATGCCCTGTCGTGCCTTGCGCACCCCACCCCCTTTTCCCTCCTTTTCGGCCCGTCCCACCTTTCCCCCATTTTCGTGCCTCATCGGCCGCGGCACCCTACTCGGCCTCGGCTAATCCCGGGCACCTAATCATGAACGAGGGAGAGGAAGAGGGGAGGGGAGGGGAGGGGAGGGGCGGAGGGAGGAAGGGAGGGGAGGGAGGGAGGGGGAGGGAGGGAGGGAGGGGGAGGGAGAGAGGGAGGGAGGGGGGAGGGAGGGAGGGGGAGGGAAGAGGTTCATGATGAAGGAGATGACACCGTCCCGTAAGTGCGAGGCATAAACCACGACTAATGTGTGTGTGTGTGTGTGTGTGTGTGAGCGCGAACGACTCAATCGCAATAGCCTGGCGCCGAAACCACGCTTACACATCCGGCCGCCCACGTCAAACCTGGCTCGGCTCCTCTTTCCGGCGCGTAGTGCGTCGCCCCGACTCGTTCACCAGCACCACGACACGGCGTGAGGGTTGGCGGCCGTTGGCGGCGGTTCCTTTGGCTGGAGCTCAGCGCAGCGCCCCGTCGTGCTGTACAAACGCCACGGGGGGTGGGGGAGGCCGGACAGCGCGGCGCCGCCGCCCGGCAGACCGACTGCGAGCGAGCGGCGTCCCCGGGCCGGGCGTCCCCCTCTCCGTCGCACTCGTGGGGGCGCGGCGCGCGGCCGCGTGGGTCCGAGCGGAGACGCGCCACGCAGCGCGCCGCGCCGCCGCCGCGCTGGCGCCGCCGGGAGGGTAGGCAACCCATTCGGCTCGGCCGCCGCGTTGGCGGAGGGTGCCCCGGCGGAAAGCGGCAGCGACGGCCAAGGGGAGGGGCTCACAGTGGGCCAGAAGGCCGGCGCGCGCGGCCAAAACTCTAGACGCGTTTTGTGCTCCAGAGTCGCTAAATGGGACTCGAACCGAACGTGTGACCCCACCAATGGATTGCTCTCCGAACGAGGAGTCTATAGGGCCCAGAAGACAGTAGCCCCCACCACCATCCCAAGCGTACCCCACCCTTCCTGCCTTGCTTTCCTCACCCCCCCGCAGCGAGCTAAACATTCGGCGTAGGGACGGCGCGGGTGGTGGAGGGTAGGGAGGGGGATAGAGGGGGACGGGTCCGCGCTATGCCTGGTGCTGGGCAAGTCTAACTCGCTGCGCGGGTGGTTGCGGGTTGGTGCGGTAAGGTGGTGGGGGCTACTGTCTTCTGGGCCCTATTGGTGGGGTCACACGTTCCATTCGAGTCCTGTTTAGCGACTCTGGAGCACAAAACGCGGCTAGAGTTTTGGCCGCCTCCACCGGTCTTCTGGCCCACTGTGCAGCGACGGCGAAGGGGAGGGGGAGGGGCTGCGATGGGGGAAAGCGGACTCGTCCAAATTGGATGCGATGCGATTCGGGGGCGGCTGGCGGCTGGGCCGGGTGGCACCGAGGATGCGAGAGAAACGTGGGCGCAATGGCGGAGACTATTCGTCGCTCTGTCTCTCTCGCACGCAGCAGACGGGCCGCCGCAAGAGCGCGAGAGAGACAGAGCGACGACCGCGAAGTGAGGGGTAATCGCTCGTCGGGCAGTTACAGTGGCGTGGCGACATTGTCCGAGGGGGCGCACTGCAAGACGCACTGCTTGCAGTTCATCCGACTGCCAATAAGGGTTCGGCCGCGGAGGCAGAGTAATGTGACTGTTCTAAGGACAACCACGAAGGACAGTGTCCCTTCCCCTCCTTTCCCTTCTCCCCGCAAAATAATAGATGATGTGTGTGTGGCTGTCAGGCTGCGAGACTTGCCCCGCTCCGCCCCGGACCCGAAAACGATCCCAGGACGAGATTCTCTTCTCCTCTCGACGCGGTTCCGCCGCCACACTGGCTGTCATACACGCGCCGGCGACGCGACACCCATCAACCACGCGTTTCACAACAAAAACAGAAAATAAATACTGCACGTTTTGGTTTTTTGGAACCCGCCGCGCCGGTGTTTGAACCCGGGCCGCCGAAACGGAAAGGTCAAAGTCCGCAGAGGTCGGCAGACTGCACAGCTAGATCGACGCGGCGGCTGGGACTTTGCAGCTCGCGCAGCCCACTGTGGGCCAGAAGACCGGCGCTGGCGGCCAAAACTCTAGACGCGTTTTGAGCTTCAGAGTCGCTGGATGGCACTCGAACCGAGCGTGTGACCCCACCAATGGATTCTTCGTTCGGAGGGCAATTCATTGGTGGGGTCACCTGTTCCGTTCGAGCCGCATATAGCGACTCTGGAGCTCAAAACGCGTCTGGGGTTTTGGCCGCTTGCACCGGTCTTCTGGCCCACTGTGCAGCCCCAGCAGGGACGCCCTGCCACGCCTCCTTAGTCAGACAAGAAACGTCCTGCTTTATTTCTGGCGTGGCTTCGGCAAGCGGGCAAGCAGCGACGCACTCACTACACCGCGTAGCGCGTAGCGTACGCCGAGCGGCAGGGGACGGGGGGGGGCGGGGCGGGGTGGGGCGGGGCGGGGTGGGGCGGGGTGGGGTGGGGCGGAGCGGGGCGGGGCGGGGCGGGGTGCGGTGCCGAGCAGGGGAGGACCCCAGCACCCCGCACCACACCCAAGCACACCTTGACGCGATCCGGAAAAGGGACGGGAAAGCGCACGGGCGCCGCCGATACTCCACGCACTCGAGCCGCCCACCTGGAGGACGGCGTCGACGGCCTGGTCGGTCACGCGTGGAGTATCGTCAACGCGACGCTACACTGCATCACACTCCAGTCGGTCGGATAATTCGCCGGCCCGTCCATCCATCCATCCATCCGGCCACAACGCCAATCGCCTTGATGACCCCGCCCCGCCCCGCCCCGCAGCGCTATTGACTATGCGGGGGCGGCGCAAAGACAAAGAGGGCCCTCCATTGTTTTATTGAGGGGCCGCCCCCCTCCTGGAAGTAAGTTATTGTCCGAAGGCTCGCTTGCTCGCTTGCATGGAGACTAGACGCCACTTCTGGCGGTCGTCGCGGCTCACGTTACACTAGTCAGCCCCAAAATGGGCGGTTTCGACCATTCTTCTCTCGCGACTTTCAATTTGTTTCTTACTTTACTGTACTTGACTGAAATGATCTGTTCCCCCCCCCCCCGCGGGTGGCTGCTGTGCTGTGCAGGAAGGGGCCTCTTGAACGCGTTAGCTCGGCGCGGCCCTGGGGGGGCCCTGGCGCGCACAGTGGGCCAGAAGCCGGTGGAGGCGGCCAAAACTCTAGACGCGTTTTGAGCTCCAGAGTCGCTAAACAGGACTCGAACCGAGCGTGTGACCCCACCAATGGATTCCTCGTTCGGAGAGCAATCCATTGGTGGAGCCACACGTTCGGTTCGAGTCCCATTTAGCGACTCTGGAGCTCAAAACGCGTCCAGAGTTTTGGCCGCCTCCACCGGTCTTCTGGCCCACTGTGGCGCGCCCCTGACCCCCGTCGAGTACGCCGGCGTGCACGTCACCGGCAGCGCCGCGTTTTACCACGTACCCGCCGCGCTGCGCGCGCCCGGCATTTCAAGTCGCTCTGTCTCTCTCGCACTCGCGGGGCGTTCCGCTCGGGGGCACGAGAGCGAGAGAGACAGACTGCAGATGCGCGTGCGGCGGTCGCGCGCGGACCCGCGATGGGTTCACCCGAAAAGGTTAAGCAGCAGACCGATTCCGAGAGTCGTTTCGTCGCTGTGTCTCTCTCGCACTCAAGGAGCGTCCTGCTTAAGTGCGAGAGCGACAGAGCGACGAAAACGACTCTCGGCATCAGTCTGCAGACGCGGCGACCGCGAAGCCACGGCAAAGCCTAGCCGCGCGGCCGATTGGCCGAACCCACCAAATTGCATAAATTAGCCATCACTCCCGCAATACTTGGCTGCTTAGCTGTCCGCGCCGCGCTGACTCGCTGCCGTATCTGCAGACTGATTCCGAGAGTCGTTTTCGTCGCTCTGTCTCTCTCGCACCTAAGCGGGGCGCCCCATGAGTGCGAGAGAGACAGAGCGACGAAGACGACTCTCGGTCTGCTGTATGCAAATGAATCCGATCGTCTTCCCTTTCTCCCATCATCGCCGCGCCGTCTCGTTTCGCAGTGTCACACATCCACGCCACTGTTTTTTCCCTCGTCATTTTTGGTATTTTTGGCGCGGCCGCATCCCATCCGGGTTCCCCGAGTGTCGTCGCCGTGGTCGTTCAATGTTTAACAGAGCGGGTCCTGGCGGCGCACGGCGGCGCCCTGTCCCGGTCGAGGACGGGCATGTTGTTGACGGACGCATGGCCCCGCAGCGCTCTCGTCGCTCCGTCTCTCTCTCACTCGCTCGTCGTCCCGAGAGTGCGAGAGAGACGGAGCGACACTACAC